CTTTCCAGGGGGGCGGGGGGGGGAATAGTATCCAGCTTCCTGCATAATTTTATTCTTTAGCCTTTTTTTTAAGATTTTATTTATTTATTCATGAGAGACAGAGAAGGAGAGAGAGAGGGAGAGGGAGAGGGAGAGGGAGAGGGAGAGAGAGAGAGAGAGAGAGAGAGAGAGAGGCAGCAGAGGGAGAAGCAGGCTCCTTGAGGGGAGTCCAATGTGGGACTCGATCCCAGGACCTCGGGATCACTACATGAGCCAAAGGCAGATGCTCAACCACTGAGCCACCAAGATGTCCCTATTCTTTAGTCTTTTGTTATTTTTTTCAATTATTTTATTTTTAATTCTTTTCTTTTTAAATTATTTTTATATATATCTTATATTTTTTAAATTTAAAATTATAAAAAGTGTTTCCTTTTACTTGTATTTTATTTTTATACACATGTATTTTTTCTTCCTTTCTTATTTTGGGGTCTAGTTTCTTTTAACAAACAGACCAGAACACACCCAGGATCTAGTTTCTTTTGTTGTTGTAATTTTCTTTTTCTGTTTTTCTTTTCTATACAAAATGACGAGACAGAGAAATTCACCCCAAAAGGAAGAACAGGAGATAGTACTCACAGCCAGGGATATAATGAATATGGATATAAGTAATATGTCTGAACTAGAATTTAAAACAATAATTTTAAGATACTGATGGGCTTGAAAAAAGCTAGAAGATACTAGAGAATCCCTTACTGTAGAGAGAAAAGAAATAAAATCTAATCTGGTTATAATTAAAAATGCTATAGCTGAAATGCAATCCCAAGTGGAGGCCATAAAAATGAGGATGAATCAATCAGAAGAGTGAATCAGTGATATAGAAGGTTAAATTTTGGAAAACAATGAAGCTGGAAAAAGAGGGAAAGAAAACTAAAGATCACAAAAGTAGACTTAGGGAACTCAGAGATTCCATAAAGCAAAATAATATCCATATATTAGGAGTCCCAGAAGAAAAGCAGGAAAATGGGCAGGTTTATTTGAACAAATTATAACTGAGAACTTCTCTAATCTGGGGAAGAAAACAGGCATTCAAGTCCAAGAGGCACAGAAAACTTCCATCAAAATCAACAAAAAAAGGTCAATGCCATGACATATTATAGTGAAACTTCCAAATTGTAAATATAAAGAGAAAATCCTGAAAGCAGCTTGGGACAAGAGGTCCTTAACCTATAACAAGACCCAAAAGGCAGGCAGCAGACCTGTCCATAGAGACCTGGCAGGCCAGAAGGGACTAGCATGATATATTCATTGTGCGAAATAGGAAAAATATGCAGCAAGGAATACTTTATCCAGCAAGGCTTTCATTCAGAATAGAAGAAGAGATAGAGTTTCTAAGACAAACAAAAACTAAAGGAATTTGTGAATACTAAACTAGCCCTGCAAGAAATATTAAAGGGGACCCTTTGAGCATAAAGAGAGACCAAAAGAAACAAAGACCAGAAAGGCACAGAGACAATCTATAGAAACAGTGACTTTATATATTTTTTTAAAGATTTATTTATTTATTCATGGGAGACACAGAGAGAGAAAGGAGGGGGGCACAGACACAGGCAGAAGGAGAAGCAGGCTCCATGCAGGGAGCCAGACATGGGACTCGATCCCGGGTCTCCAGGGTCACACCCTGGGCTGAAAGTGGTGCTAAACCACTGCGCCACCAGGGCTGCCCAGAAACAGTGACTTTAGAGGTAAGACAATGGCACTACATTTATATCTTTCAATAATTACTCTGAATGTAAATTGTAAATGGAATAAATGCTCCAATCAAAAGGCATAAGGTATTAAAATGGATTTAAAAAAGTTGGCGTAGCCATCCTTGTATTAGATAAATTAGATTTTAAACTAAAGAATGTAATAAGAGACAAGCAAGGACACTATATCATAATAAAGGGGTCTACCCAACAATAAGATATAATAACTGTAAATATTTATGCCCCTAACTTGGGAGCAGCCAAATATATAAATCAGTTAATAATAAACTTAAACTCATTGATCATAATACAACAATAGTAGGGGACTTGAAGACCCCACTCACAGCAATGGACAGATAGATGATCTAAGCAGAAGCTCAACAAGGGAACAAGGGAATGAATGACACACTGGACCAGATGGATTTCACAGATATATTCAGAGCATTTCATCCTAAAGCATTTCATCCTATACACTTTTTTCAAGCACACATAGAACATTCTCCAGAATAGATCACATACTGGGTCACAACCCAGGATTCAATCAGTACAAAAAGACTGTGATCATACCATGCATCCTTTCAGACCACAATGCTTTAAAACTTGAAGTCAACCATAAGAAAAAATTTGGAAGGACTACAAATACATGGAGTTTAAAAAACACCCTACTAAAGAATAAATAGGTAAACCAGGAAATTAAAGAATTAAAAAAAAAACACATGGAAGCAAATGAAAATGAAAACATGACAGTTCAAAACCTTTGGGATGCAGCAAACGTTGTCCTAAGAGGAAAATATATAGCAATACAGGCCTTCCTCAAGAAGCAAGAAAAATCTCAAATACACAATCTAACTTTACATCTAAAGGAGCTGGAAAAAGAACAGCAAATAAAGCCTAAATGCAGCAGGAAAAGAGAAATAATAAAGATTAGAGTATAAATCAATGTTAAAGAAATTAAAAAAAAACAAGGAAACAGATCAACAAAACTAGGAGTTTGTTCTTTGAAAGGATTAACAAGACTGATAAACCCCTTATCAAAAAGAAGAGAAATGGCCCAAATAAATAAAATCATGAATGAAAGAGATCACAACCAACACTGAAGAAATACAATTATAAGAGAATATTATGAGCAATTACATACCAACAAATTAGGTGATCTGGAAGAAATGGATACATTCCTAGAAACATCTAAACTACCAAAACTGAAACAGGAAGAAATAGAAAATCCAAACAGAGACATAACCAGCAAAGAAATTGAATCACTAATCAAAAATCTCCCAACAAACAACAGTCCAGGTCCAGATGGCTTCCTGGGGGAATTCTAACAAACATTTAAATAATTAACACCTATTCTTCTGAAACTGCTCCAAAAACAGAGATGAAGGAAAACTTCCAAACTCTTTCTATGAGGCCAGTATTACCTTGATCCCAAAACCACACAGAGACCCCACAAAAAGGAGAATTCCAGAACAATATCCCTGATAAACATGGATGCAAAAATTCTCAGCACGACACTAGCTAATAGGATCCAACAGTACATTAAAAGGATTATTTGCCATGACCAAGTGGGATTTATTCCTTGGCTGCAGGGGTGGTTCAACATCTGCAAAGCAATAAACATGATACACCACATTAATAAAAGAGAGGATGGGATCCCTGGGTGGCGCAGCGGTTTGGCGCCTGCCTTTGGCCCAGGGTGCGATCCTGGAGACCCAGGATCGAATCCCACGTTGGGCTCCCGGTGCATGGAGCCTGCTTCTCCCTCTGCCTGTGTCTCTGCCTCTCTCTCTCTGTGTGTGACTATCATAAATAAATAAAAATAAAAAAAAATAAATAAAAGAGAGGATAAGATCCTCTCAATAGATGAAGAAAAAGCATGTGACAAAATATGGCATCCTTTATTAAAATCCTCCACAATGTAGGGGTAGAGGGACATACCTCAACATCATAAAGGCCATCTATGAAAGATCCACAGGTAATATCATCTTCAGTGGGGAAAAACTGAACTTTTCCCCTACAGTCGGGAACACGATGGGGATGTCCACTCTCACCACTGTTATTCAACAGAGTACTAGAAGTCCTGGCCTCAGCAATCAGACAAGAAGAAGAAATAAAAGGCATCCAAATCAGCAAAGAAGTCAAACTTTCACTCTTCACAGAAGATATGATCTCTGTGTAGAAAACTTGAAAGACTCCACCAAAAAATTGCTAGAACTGATACAGGAATTCGGCAACGTTGCAGGATATAAAATCAATGCACAGAAGTCTACACGCTAACAAGCAGCAGAAAGAAAAATCCTTTGCTTTGGCTTCTCCCATCTGAAAAACACTCTTCCTTTGGCTTATATTATTCAATGCTTCCATTCGTTAAGTCCCTTCTCTTCACACAAAAGCCCAGACTCAAGGACTTCTCCCAACACCAAAGGGTGTCAATACTCTTCTTTTAGAATTAGTCACACCTTTTAATTGTATCACTTATTCTCTCACTCAACATTTATCGAGTGTGTGTCATATGTATGACCATGTGCTAGACCCTGAATCGAGTGTTATGTCTTCTGCTTTTTATCTCTCTTGTAGCCCCTTGTACTTTTCACACGTTTACTGCAGTGGTTTGGATGATGCTTTAACGGCTTGTCCTGTCACATGCCACATAGGGACAGCAAATTTTAAACTACTGAAATCAAAAATAGTATAAACGTAGGACTTGCCTAAAGTACCAGGATGTTTTACTGATGGTGGTAGGTTGTTTTCTGTAAGTTTTAAAAAGCAGCTGTCAGTACTATTAGGGTTTGAGGACTGAGCTCAATAGGGATTATGTAGTAGGAGATCTTAGTCCTTGTTATTGGAAGTTTCTATGACAATAGCAGTAATGTCATTTGGTCATGAATGCCTGTGATGAGAGCATCAAGAACAGGTACTATCTCCAAAGTTCCCCTTAAATATGATTTACCTAACAGACATCTGCACAAACACAAATAACTTTATTCACATGTTAGAACAGTGTTTGAGTAGACACTGTTTTAAGGACACTTAATACAATCAATTTCTTGAACTCAGATTTGAGTTTTCAAAAAAAACTATATTCAATCTCTGGGTATTTTACTCACAGAATTTTGCATGTAGCCCACTTCTTTCTGCACAAAGGTAAAATACTATTTGTATTTGCTTAATTCCCCATATTTTGCTGTTTCAACATGATCTTGTAACCCCAGTCATTTCATTGTTAGTCTAAGCTTATATTTCTTTCACTCTCAGCTTTTTTTTTTTTTTTTTTTGAGCTCATTTTCTCTCTTTATGTTGTCGAGTATAGCTTCGAGGTGCTGGGTATTCCTTTCCAAGGTCCACAACAATTACCTCCCTAGAAAATGTCACTCCTTTTAAAGGTCTTTTCTGGTTTTCAACAACTGAATGAGTTTTAGTGAGAGGTATGGGTGGTTTTTGGATATCGTCATCCTGCAAGAGAATGGAACAAACAGTATAAATGATCAATTTATGAAGGCAACAAGTTCCGCTTTAAAAAACATTATATTTTTAGTTTCGTTTATATCTAAATTAAATATAGAAACATTGTGAGAAACAGAAGATGTGTTTCTAAATGACACAGGAAAGCAGTGATAATCCATCATGATCTCATTTTCATATTTCTATGGTTATAAAAGAGCCCCCTGAACCATCGTTCTGCCTCTGGGCATGGGCCTTGTGTTGAGGGAAGATGTGAACTGTTCCTATCATAGGGTCCCAACAGGGAGCTCATGAAGGTCCAGGCAATGTTTGTGTGCTGTTGTACAAGGAGCCTGGAACCAGAACAGGGACATGGGGTCTGATCCTGAGCTTGGCCGCGGTGGAGGAATGACCTTGCACAATTCATCCCATTTTCTCATTTGTAACATGAGAAGCCTGGATCCCTAGATGATCTCCAAGGACTCCGCCAGCTCTAAAATCCTAGGATTCTGAGAAAAGCAAAATGAAGGGGAATCATTAAGACCACCACAAATGTAAGAGTGAAGAATGAGAAAGTATCTAGATTTGGATGGAATACATAACTAGTTTAATAACATGAACTAAGAAGAATGGTTTAGATGATTGCAGACATTGTGCTCCTTCTAGAAACAAACTTAAGTTTCAAGCAAGACTAGCTCATTGCACCTAGCCAAATTATTTACCACTTTTTCAAAGAAAGGAATTCTGAACTGGACCTTGGGAGGAGAAAAGCCCATCACCTCTTCGCCATTCCCTTTAACATTCTTACATTCTTAGGCTTTTGCATCTCTTTCATTTTGTCTTCGTCTTCCATCTCCTCTTTGTTTTCTAAGGGTGTGTCCGCCACGTCTTTACTCCGTCTCTGGACAAGAATGCCAGGCCTCGTGGGTGCATTCAAGTCGATGATTTGTGTTACGAGAGTCCTAGATAATCAGCAGGATTTTAAAAATTCATGCATGTTAGCCACCATCATCACACCCCAAAATGTCTTTCTATCACATTCTATGATACAGACTTACTTTTCTTTTTTTATAATTTTTTTTAATAATTTTTTTTTATGATAGTCACACACAGAGAGAGAGAGGCAGAGACACAGGCAGAGGGAGAAGCAGGCTCCATGCACCGGGAGCCCGACGTGGGATTCGATCCCGGATCTCCAGGATCGCGCCCTAGGCCGAAGGCAGGCGCTAAACCGCTGCGCCACCCAGGGATCCCCCCAGACTTACTTTTCTTGGTCTCCTGTATTGTTTGTCTCCACATTAGCAGCAGCTACACATTCTTCACCTCCATTACCATCTGTACAAGGAACTTTTTCTGTCTCTTCAACTTTGCTTTGGGAACTGAAAACAAATAAGTAGAAAATTCAGAAGAGAATGGTCGTGATTTACTTGGTAGGGAACTTCACTTTTAAACAGGAAATTAGAATTTCTAAAATTCTGAAGTGGAAAAAGTAAATAGCTATAGCATTATTTGCTCTATTTTAAATTGATTTATATTATTTCTAGATACATTTGCTAGTGTGACTTGAAATCTGATCCCAATTTATCAGCATGGATTTATACCATTTATATAAAAAAACCACCAATAAAAAGAAGATGCAAACGAAGCAAATTAGAAGGAGGATGAAGAAAGTGATTGCTGTGGTTTCAAAGCTCATAGGCTTAGCTAGAAGACTTGTCCACTCTCACAATCACAGGTTGTACAAATATTCTTTTCCAGCTTAGTTTGAATGTAGTTTTCTTGTTCTTTAAGTTTTCTAGAAACAGAAGAATAAAAGGCTATTTTTCATTGTTCTTTTGATCAGCTTCATAAAAGATGCTGTGCTTGTTTTGATGAAGTTGACTCACACTGGCAAATTTTTAATTTCTCTCCATAAATGTGGTGGGGTCTGAGGTGGTTAGAGGGGAGACTGAGCTGGGACACGTGTGATCACTCAGCTCATCTCCCCTCACCCCAAAAACTATCAGAATCCAGAGGAAAGGAATTGGAGCAGCTGGAGCCAAGCCCAGCTCCCCATTCTTCTCTCTTCAGTGACATCACAGAATCATAGAACGGTTTAGTTAGAAAGACCAGAGTGTCAGCCCAACCCTATCTGTTGCCTGGAGTTAGAACTAAAAAACTCTCCTCTGGGTTGCCATCTCACTGTCCTCTCCTATCAGAGGGCTGGGGTGAAGGCCGTGTGGCACCATCCTGGCCACTCTTTGGATGAGGATTTTCTTCCTGCTTTCCAAACACCAGGTTTCCTTTCTTAACCCGAGCCTGTTTCTCTTACTGATTCTTTCACAATGAACTAGTCCCACTTCCTTTTTTTATTTTTATTTTATTTTTTTAAGAAAATTTTTTTTGTTTTTTTTTTTCTTTTATTTATTTATGATAGGCACACAGTGAGAGAGAGAGAGGCAGAGACACAGGCAGAGGGAGAAGCAGGCTCCATGCACTGGGAGCCCGACGTGGGATTCGATCCTGGGTCTCCAGGATCGCGCTCTGGGCCAAAGGCAGGCGCTAAACCACTGCGCCACCCAGGGATCCCCCCACTTCCTTTTTTTAAAAAAAATTTGATTTATTTATTTATTCATGAGACACACACACACACACACACACACACACACACAGAGGCAGAGACACAGGCAGAAGGAGAAGTAGGCTCCACTCAGGGAGCTTGATGTGGGACTCGATCCCAGGACTCAGGATCACAACTTGGGCCTAAGGCAGGTGCTAAACCACTGAGCCACCCAGGCGTCCCATTCCCACTTCCTTCTTATGAAATCCCTCTCAATAGTAATCAACTTACCTCCTAATGGATGCTCTCCAAACTAAAGAGCCCATGTCCTTCTAATACTATATCACTGGACCCACTTCCTGGACAAATAAGCAAACTGGTAACTCTAGAAGCCATGGCTGAGGAAGCAGGAGCAGAGCAAGATGAGCAGAGTCAAGATGACCCCACTTCCAACCTAACTTTCAGGTCAGTGAGTGATGCCCATGACAGGAAGGGGGAGGGAGGAGCTAGGGTTTTCTGAGAAGCAAAGGAAGGTACAATGGAAAATGGTAGCTGCTGCAAACCACATCTTAAAAAATGAGAAAATGAGCTCTGGGGGTCTCTGGGCTGGACTTTCAGAAGGGCAAGGACTGTGGTGTTATACCTTTGGATACTCCACCAGGTCAGGACCTACGAATCCCATAAATGTTGAATGGATGGGTCTGTGTGTGGCATGTATGTAAGGACAAGTAAGAGCTTGTTGGAGGGCTCAGGCCATGCCTGATTTTTACGAACATGTCAACATCTGAGCCACTCCTGGAAGAGTGAACAGAATTTACAGATGCCTCCTCAAGACTCCCAGATGAGGACTCAGAATCCATCTCATTCTCCTTACTCTATACTGCTGCTAGACTAAGACTTTTAGGACCCAAATCTTCCCATGTCTCATGTACACATAAAGGATTTTTCTGAGAGATGGGAATATTTTAGATCTACTGTTGGCTACACAGATCTAGACGTATGTAAAAACCCCGAAAACTGTATCCTTAAGACTAGTGTATCTTGTGTCATCTACTGCATGGATATTATACTGAATAGAAATGGAAAAGGGGCCCTATCCCCATACTGAGTTTGAGTAGGTGTGGTTCCATGAGTAGTGCTGGACTGCAGTGCACCGCTGCTAGTGGGTCCTGTCTCCAAGACTATTTACCAGACACAGTCTGAGGCCAGAGACCTTTAGCAACAAGTAAGGGCTGATAAGACTATCATAAGGGCGTTCCTTCCCTGAATATAACTTGGGAATCAATGTCTTAAATTTATGTATAGTTAACACAATTCTGAAAAGTGGAAGGTTATCCGACTTTGCTCCCTAAATCACATTTTAAATGCACTGCTGCACTGTAAGTCTGTGATACCATGATATTCAAAGATGGGTTCCAGAGCCTAACAAAGTACACCTGGCACATAGGTGTCTGCTCAAAATTATATGATGGTGGGAAATTACAACCAATTCTACAGAAATAAAAAATATTCTAAGAGAGTACTATGAACAATTAAATGCTGACAAACTGAATAACTCAGATGAAATGGAAAACTTTCTAGAAACACAAAACCTGTTAAGACAGAATCATGAAGATACAGGAAATCTGCATAGAACTATAAGGAGACTGAATCAATAATCAAAACCTCCCAACAAAGAAAATCCCTGGACCAGATGTTTTCAAAAAGGAATGTTATCAAACATCTAAAGAACTAACCAATCTTTTTCAAATTCTCCAAATAACTGAAAAAAGGGAAACACTTTGTAACTCATTCTATGAGGCCAGCATTACCCAGATACCAAAGCCAAAGACACTACCAAAAAAAAAAAAAAAAAAAAAGGCTAAAAGACTGATATCCCTTATGAAGACTAAGGCAAAAATCCTCAACAAAGTACTAGCAAACTGAATTTAGCAGCATATTAAAAGGATTAGACACCATGACAAAGTGGAGTTTATTCCACAAATGCAAGGATGATTCAACATACAAAAATCTACATTAAGAGAATGAACAGGAGAAAAACATATGATCATCTCAACGGATTCAGAAAGGCATTTGGCATCATTTAACATCCTTTTCATGATGAAAAACATTAAACTAGGAATAGAAGGAAACTACCCCAATATAATAAAGGCGATATATAGAAACCCGCAGCTAACATCATACTCAACGGTGAAAAAGTATTTTCAAATCATTTGTCTGATAATGGATTAATATCCATAATAAATAAGGAACTCTTAAAACTCAACAATAAAAAACCCAATTCAAAAATGGGCAAAAGACTTGCACAGACATTTCTCTAAAGAAGATATGCAAATGGACAGTAAGCACATGAAAAGATGCTCAACATCACTAATCATTAAGGAGCAAGTCAAAACCACAATGGGATAACCACTTCATAGCCATTAATAAAGCTATTATTAAAAAGAAAAGAAAACAAGTGCTAGTCAGAATGTGGAGAAATTGGAACCCTTGTGTATGGTTGTGAGAATGTAAAAATGGTGCAGCCCCTGTGGGAAGCAGTATGGCAGTTCCTCAAATAACTAAATATAGAGTTCCAAATGACTCAGCAGTTCCACTTCTGGGCATCTATGAAAGGTAAGTGAAGGAGGGACTAGAACAGATATTTGTGCACCCATGTCCACAGAAGCACTATTCACAACAGCCCAAAGGTAGAAACAACCCAAGTTGGAATATATTATTCAGCTTTAAAAAGGAATGAAATTCTGATACATGTTACACATGGATGAAGCTTGAAGGCATGATGCTAAGTGAAGGATACATATTGTATGATTCCACTTCTATCAAGTACCTGCAATAGTCAAATTCAGAGACACAGAAGGTAGAACCATGATTATCAGGCTCTGGGCTGAGGGGGGACATGGTGGGCTATTGTTTAATGGATACAGTTTAAACTTGGGATGATGAGAAAGTTCTGGAGACAGATGGTGGTGGTGACTGCACAGCAACATAAATGTCCTTAAGCCACTGAACTGCGTACTTAGAAATGGCAAAAGAAAAAAAAAGGTAAATTTTGTATTATATATATTTATCACAATTTTAAAAACTGACTTGTGGAACAGAGGAAAGGGAGGCCATCTGTAAAGGGGCCTGGTATGTGGCAAGCACTGGAAAAAGAAAACCAGCACATGGAAATCCTGTTTCTATCTCCACCCTCTTGCTCAGTTTGTTTCCCCTGTGAATGCCCAACGCCGACCTCAGCCCTTTACCTGTCCCCACCTCCCCACCCTGCTCTTCCATGATTCCATCACCAGCCCCTGGGCTCCTTCTCGCTTTCTCGCAGCTGTCACTTCAGCTCAGTGATAACACCTTGTCACCTGCCTGCATCCCGAACTTGTGCTTTGTGTAGCTCCAGCCGCAGGCCAGCTGGGGAGTGGCAGGGTCTTTCACACTCTTTGTCATGTCCTACCTCCTGCCCCATTTATTCCTCATCCTCCAGCTCCCAGAACCCTAAAAATGTCCCTCCTCTTATCAAAACCTGCTTTCTAATCCTTCGAACCAAGAATGCCCAATAGACACTAAAAGTTTCTCCAAATTGGTTTCTTAACAGGACGTAAAAGCAAGACAGAGCAGGCTTTCAGAGTCTTTGGAGCAAGAAGGACTCCTCTAGTGCTCCTCACATCTGCCACGTTGGGGTCAGATATCCACTCCTTCTAGGGCCAGCGGTCTGCCCTGTCCCCCACTCCCGCCTTCGGGCTCCTTGTGGGGAGTAGCCAAAGTGTAGGCCCTGCCGGAGGCCGAATCTGCAGCACACTGTGTTCCAGCTGGGTACATGGTGTGTGCGAGTCCCCAGCGACCTCCCCGAGGCCTTGACCCATGAAATCTGGTGATCTCCTCCAACAAAAGCATGATCCCTGAATTACAGGATCACAGCAAGGACATTCAGGGGACCTACACGTCACAGCTGCCTGAATGTGAAAACCAGGGGAGCACACAGGACCCAGGCCTGCCCATCAGAACAGTGCACAGTGCAGGAGTCAACATGTGATCTAATCAGCTCAGTTAATCTCCAAGTCAAGACAGGTGCAGAGCCTACCAGCAAAGAGAGCAGGGTTGAGCGATACAGAGAGAGACAAATTACAAATGACTCTGCTTAATCTGACGATGCCGGAAGTCTT